GGAGGCTTTTTCTTTCTAAATCCTGTGCTGTGATTTACCTGAAGATTTGCAACACCATCAAGAAACAAATCTAATCAAAGTGAACTTAAATACAGGAAAGAGGATTTCTTTGAATCATTTTAACTGTATCTGAATGTATTATGAAATTTACATTTGTCAACAGGCTAAAGAGCTGTGCAGTGTTGAAAAGTAGAATGTGAACAATGCAGTCAAAAAGTTCATTGCTCGCAGTATAGTTTTACTGAATGCAGGAAAAGTAAAACTAGATAGACTTTTCCTTTTTAAGCCTGCAAATTTTCTATTTACAGTGGATCTTTGGTTGAGATCATGTTTAAAAAATAAGGAAAAAAAAAAAAAAAAAGCTTTCCATAAAGGCCAGTATTTATCACTGACCTTATCAGAACACACTGGTGCTTTCATCAGGGGTATTATTATTGTTGCTACAACTGAATTGCCAAACTTTCATCCTAGTTTTTGGAGCAAAATTTCAGATTCTAACAGTCATGATAGCTACTGATTTTTTTTTTTGTATGACTGTTAGTTTTTATTATTTGGCTGTTTAAAGCCAAATTCAGCTATTTAATTATGATTTAATGGGCACTGTTAAAAAATGTACAGTGTATTGTGTGCTTACTTGTCCACTTCTATGGAGCATAGCTTCCATATTTTTTCAAATGCTGTGCTGTAAAATATTGTCATTGCTACTTATGTGGTACAGTGTAGATTTTCCTTTCATTTAAATAAAAGCATGGCACCAAAAAGTACCTAATTTGTTCTCTTGTTTTTGTCTAAATATAAACAGAAATTATATTACAAAGAAGTCATGTATTTAAATATTTTTCCTTTATTGTATTGTAACAATTTTAGGGAATACTTTTTTTTTAATTTATCTTCTGATTTGTTGTCGTCTTTGTATTACTTTTTTCTCAGGAACTTAGCTTTCTGATACTAATCATCTGTAGACTATTAAAGAATTGGGCTTCATATTTCATTTCTGAAGGCAAAATAGATTACCATTTTCTCTTCAAAAGTGACTTTCACAGTTGCTAGCTAGCTGATAAACTCTTGAACTTGGGTTTATTTCCATTGTTTCAAAAAACATATAAATATGCTGTCATATACAATACATATCAGTGTAAAAAGATTGTTTCGGATGGGCAGGCTTTTGAGATGAACTGTTATCTTCACTAAGACAACTAATAAAGAAAAGAGCTTTTGTGGAATAAATTGTGGTGCAATTTTGAACAAAAAAAATCAAAAAAAAAAAAAAAAAGGCTTTCTTTGAGATATATTATTTTTCCCTGTCTGAATTATGCCCCTCTTGGACTTTAGTATTGTCCTGCCAGGTTGCAGAGGAAGAGGATGTGGCATCACTACAGTGTCAGCAACCAGAATGAGTTCTTGGGCTAGCACAAACTGAGATCACCAAAGTTTAGAGCTACTCAAAGGGCAGGTTCAGTACTGCATTACCTCTGGCATTAGGATTTTTAGTGGCTGGAAACTAACAGCCTTCCCTTGTCCTCTAAAAGTGCCAGATCAATCAGTTCCATGTAGCACATCGTAACCAATCTGACGCCAGCAAGGAATGATGCTGAAACATGAACAGAAATTGCACTCAGTAAAGCTACTATTTTTAGTAGCAAGTCTAACTCAAAATTTCAATTTAAAAAAACAGACCTTGTAAACAGATTTTAAACCTTTTTATTTTTTGTGTTCTGGCAAGTAACATTGCACCAACAACCTTCAGATCACGCCCTGCCTAATTTAACAGGCTATGGCTGTACTGCATGTCTAAATCTGTACAGAATTTGTGAAGAAAAATTTGTCCTGCTGTGTGATCCAGCAGTGTAGAGATCTGGTACTAACTGCAGAATAATAATCTCAGTTATGCTTGGAGCCTAAACTCTTGGATCAAGCAGCATGAAAAAGGGATGTAGAAAACAACTTTGTTGCTCAAATCTAGATGTGCTAATCAGGTATACACTTGAGATGCCTTTTCCCAACAGAAAAAGAAACTACAGCTTTGCAAGGGCTTCATCTGCTTCTCTTTCCAAATAGCAAATTAGCATTTCTTTATCACTTCATTACTATTTTAATGAACTGAATAAGCATTTTGAAGAGTTGTGACTATCAAACATGAACTTTGAGAGCCACAGACCTTTCCAGCTGACAGCTCGCCTTTAGCTGTGCGCACTCTTCAAACGTTGTACTTAATTTAAAAAAAAAAATGCATACATATATGATATGTATTTCAGGTTTGGGTGTCAGAAGAATTCAGTACTTCAAATGTGCATAACATCTTTGTTCTTTCACAAGCAGTATTTTTAAAGAAAACTAGTCCATTCAGAAGAAAAGGTGTGTACACACGTTACATATGCATGCCAAACAGATCCTTCCAGACCTGCTTGCACACAACAGTGTAAAGGAATAAGGCTTATTTAGACTGTATTTAAGCAAATATGAGCAAATGGGATAATGAAGCTCTTCTAGCTTACTCTTTTTTAGTAAGAGAGCAGCTATATTTCTTCTTTTTAGAGAATTACGCTATATTCAATCGCTATATGCTAAGTGCTGCTGGTCTTTCTAAGAGGCAAGGATGCAATTTAACATAGACATTTAAGAGCTTGATACAAGCTTTTTTAGGAGATGGATCTCATAACACCAAGATTTTTACCAGTTTTAAATTCAAGGGTAATACTGTTGGCTTTAAACAGGAAAAGCTAGTGGAAAACATAGCATTTCAAGAAAGAACAGAAAATTGTAGATTAAACATAAGCATTTCACTGAGAAATGCTACTTAAAATCTTCTCCAACCCCTTATTAAGCAACTGGAGGTAAAAAGTGCTTAAGAGTAAGTAATCTATTATTCTTTGATGGATTTATTAAGAAAAATAATTTTTTTTTTCACATAAGATGTATCAAAGTTTTATAAGAAAGGTATGTGAATTTTATGGAGGCAAATACACAGTAATACCTACATGCATTTTATGTCGCTCTCAATCCGTTGATGGAGTTTTGCATAAAGACTAAAAGCTAATATGAAGCTTTCCATCAAGACTGCCTTATCCTTTCTACATCATTGCTGATCTAGATCTCTGTATAACAAACCTGGCAAGAGCGTACAAGCCTGCAATTATATAAATTACCTGAAACCAGATTATAGTCTTGCTCAGTATTTTTCTTGTTTAAGCTGCCTGAAACTGGCGCTATGATGCTGACATAAATAAGCGTCTAATTCTTGTAGATGATGTAAGCAAATTTGACTCTTGCTGAATTATTATCTCAACATTCTAGCAACCCTTTCTTGGAACAAGTGAAAACTGTCTCCAGAAGTTTTAAATAATTAGAACTATTTTTTTGCAACTTTTCACAACAGCATCGTATAATCATACAATGGAAAGATTTGTATGGCTCTGCTATAATCATTTGGCCCATTTCTATGATGTCAACATAACATTGCAAAACAGAACTTGCTCGACTGCACTGGCAGATCTTGTGCAAGGTTAGCACAAAGAGAATGATTCTAAGAATGCATCCAACCCTGTTGACAGTGTCAGTGGCCACCTGCAACATCTCTAAAACCTGTCCTTGTCAGAAATTTAAGAGCAATGGAGGAGGGTTTGATGTGGTTCTCCAAGCAGGCACTTCGCAGAACAGTAGCTCTTCTTCCATACCTCTTCCATAGGGGAGACGTTCTGTTCTTAAAAGCTTCAGGGGAAGCTTTTGCTACAGAGAATCCATTTCAACTTCATTTAGATCTCAGACAACCTTCCCTGGACCTCTGATACATACTGCTCTCTCACAGGCATGCACAAAAACACATAAAAATAAAAACCTGCTCTCTGCTAATTATCATAACATTTACACAAGCTCCATATTGATCAGATTTAGAAATGAAAAGTGTCAGTTCTTGCTGATGCAATATATTGCTGCTGATGGGTGTGTATTGTTGTTATTTCCCCCAAATACTGTATGAGCATTTTAATGTGATTTTTCTGCATTTCCTCTCACAGCTCTATTGGGATATTCCATAGGATAACAGCATGTCAAATTTATAAAAGTACGGATGTTTAGTATCAAAGTATCAAAATATATTTTTAAATATATTACATATAATACATATATTACATACAAATACATAAACATACATTAATACATATATTACATACAAATATAATACATATATTTTCCAACAGTCTGGGGCAGTACTTGCTCCTTCTCGATTAACTGTTTTCAAGCATAACTACTGGCCATAGCCCAGCAAGAACATACTCAAAGAAATAAAATCCAAGGCCAGCCTGAAATCTGGATAGAAGATTGTGGCAGCACATAGCAGGAATGTGGGGGCCATAGTGCACCATCATCGCAAGGGGAAGAAGGGCATCTTTTATTTATTGCATTTTTTTTTCTTCCGGTATCTTAAGAGATATTTAAGCAACGGTAAGGTGATGGATATATAATTTCTGTTTGAACTGACGATGTTTCTGTCTAAACAAAGCCGCCACAAAGACACTGCCAAGGAGGCCAAAGTGGGAGGCCGGCAGCATATGGCACCGGAGCTGTTCTCGGCCGCCCCTTTGTTTTGGGCCACTGAATTATTTATAGGCAATTCCCTACCATTCATCCCCAGAACGGCTGCAGAGGGGATGGGAGGCGCTTCTCACTGACGTGACCCGCAGCCTTCAGGGGAGGCGGCGGCGACGCGCTGCCCTCCGCGGCCAACGGCCGCCAACGCCCACCAACGGTCAACGGCGCCCAACGGTCAACGGCGCCCAACGGCCACCGGCCCCGCCCCGCGCGGCCCCGCCCCTCCGCCTTGGCGTTCCGAGCAGGCAGCGCGGCGGGCACCCCGCCCCGGCGCGGGCGGGGTCCT